GCGAGAGTGGAGCTACATCCCCCAATGTAAAGCCCTCTCGCAAAAGGCCCATCCCCATCCATCTCATAGCACTAGGTGGGGGTGCCCCTGGGACGAACCCCCTTAGGACAATGAGGTGCGTGCTACCCCCGTTTCTGGTGGATGCGGTTTTCGGGACCAGGGATAGACTGGAACAGATATGCCGGTCGATGACACGCCTGAGGCTGTACCAGTGCGCTCGACAGGATTTCTTTAGACTGTCGGTGGAAGCGGGACCGTTCGAGGGGAACTGGGCGGATGAACTAGCTGAGGTATTAAACCTCCTCAGCGCGGATGAAGTCTTTGTCTCTAGACCGGTGCATTGGCAGATAATATATCGGAATGTGGCGGCAGGTGAAACCTTCTTAGAGGGACTGAGAGAGCTGTTCTCTGACGGGGAGGAGAATTTTAACGATGATGAGGATGGGGACGAGATAGAGGACTGGGACTTCTCGCGAGCTGTGGGACTGTATACCCAAAGGATGGGAACCGAGACGGGTTGAAGGGGGAGTAGAAATGTCTATACCTGCAGATCATAAATGGAGAGGGACCACGTGTGACTGGGTAGGGTCTGAAATTGTGCCCGACCTATCGTACCTATGGGTAGAACGCGTCTGGAACCCACTAAGGGAAGAGGAAGGATGGGAGAAGATCACGGAAGGAAGGGTGGAATCGGTTGGGATGGTCGTTCTGTCCGAACAAGGCTGACACCTGTTTTGCACCACACTCGCAGCGGGACAGGACCCGATGTGGCTTTTAGGGGATGCTGAGCCAAGGGCTCGACGGGCGGGCGAGAGGTTTGCTAACAAAGGATGGGACGCGGTCAGTAGTAGAGTCATGATGGGAGGGTGAAAGGAGTTTAGGCCCCCCTGCCTGCGGACCAAGACCTGGGTACCCGAGTTCGTAGCAGATTGGTTTGGGGGTTTCGACCATGTTGAGGAAGTAGCCAGCACTATGGGGCGGGTGCACGTGAATTGCGCCTGGTTGACGGAAGAATTCTATAAAACATCCTTGAAATTTGGGCCCCTCGTCATTTTGGACATCGAAAGGAATGACCGGCTGGAAGTGACTCCGGAAACCAGGGAGGCTATAATTCGCCGCGAGGTAGCTGCCACACCTTGCTATGTAGATGATAAGTTTAAGTTGTTCGAGGTACTGTGGTTCGACTGAGAGCGGAAAAAGTCGCGGGGCCAGGCAAGCATGGGAGAATTGCTAAGATAAGGGAATGGGATGTCTGGCCATTGTAGGGTTCGGTGCGAATTGTGAGCAAGAAGGCCAAGGACGAGAGCGCAATGGCACGAAGGAGGACGTTGCTTGAAGACCGCCCCCTAGGCATTGAGCCACCTAGGGAAGTGGAGGGTGGAGTAGAAATTAGTCTGCCGGCCGCAAGCGAGGGTTGGCACCCGGTGGTGGATTGGGTCGGGGTTGAGCTCATGGAAAATATGGTTTACTTGGTAACGAGGGTCGAATGGCGCGCGCACGAGAATGGGGAATGGAACCCGGACCCGCGGGGGCATGTGCGTGCGGAAGGGCGATTGTATGTGTCTGAGGACGAGTGGCAGGAGTTCGGAGCCCTGTTGGCAGGAGCTCGGAGTCCTGTTGGCATCAGGAGAGGACCCGTTGAGTATGTTTGAAGGGGCATGGCAGTTAGTGTGGCGGGCAGGGTTCGAATTTGCGGATCCGGGATATGATGATGTAACGGCAGACCTTAGGGTAGCTAGGGCCGGAAGTTTTGAATTGCCTAGCGAAAACATTCGGATGAGGCTGCCGCCCTTTCTGCTGGAAAGGCTAGGCGGACTTGAGCTTGTCAGCTAGTTTGACATACGAAGACGCGATGGTATACCAAGAATACTATCGGGCCTTCCTAGAAATGGGGCCGTTTAGCGGAGAACAGAGGTATGAAGTGTTGCGGACCCTGCGCGCCGTGCTTACCACTAGACCAAGGGCTCCGGTTGTTAGCAATGGGGTTCTGTGGGGCGTTGTTCGACGGGAAATAAGTCAGGGGATGACGTACGTGGATGACCTACACCGATTGTATGAGCCAATGGAAGTAGAGAAAGGTCGGTAGGAGAGGCAAGAAAAAGAGGGAGGGATAGAGAGAAAAAGAAGTATCGAAATTAAGGACCAGGGAGTTGTCCGGGTGAGGCCGAAGAATGGATGGAATAAGCAAAATTCGCTTGCTGTTTAAAACTGTGCAGGGGACCGCTAATCAACAATGGCGATGAGACTTGCACGGATGTCGCGACGGCCCACGCACCCTCGGCCACCCACGGAAAGTGGAGGCGGATGGGAGGTATAGCTCCCGGCAAGCTACATGGTCCGAGGAATTGACACTGAATGGAGAGCCGTGACCCTGGGAAGGGACCAGGCGTTCATGATGGTAGAATGCTTGTGGAGTGGGATGAGGTTCGATAGGGGACCAGGGGAGGACCTGTATATCGACCTAAAGGTAACGGGAACCGTATACCTGTCGGAGGTCGGATGGCACATGCTAGGAACGGAATTGGCACTAGGACATGGGCTGTTACCAATCTTCCAAAGGGCTACTAGGATAGGGGACCGGATAGGCCAGGAGGTGCGAGGAAGAATGAACGTGGGACTGAGAACCCGGGTGGAGATAGGAGGATGGCGAGAGTTTAAGGCCCCGATGACGGGACTGCGGTGCCGAGTGCCTCGCTTCATGGTAGACTTGGTATTTGGCAGCCTCTCAAGGGCAAGAAGCCTGGTGGAGTCGACTCTAGTCTGGAACCACTACTTTCGTCCGCAAACGACGGGGATGTTTTACGATGTGTCAGTTAGGCACGGGCCGTTTTGGGGAAACCAGGCCCGTGAACTACTCGAACTCATCGAGATCCTGATATTCGGGTTACCACGCATGGCGTTTGAGGAATACGAACCAATAATTACCAGGGAAATAGAAATGGGAGAAAACTATCTTGCAGGGGTGGCCGACCTGTTTGAAGAACCGGATGAGCAAGACAGACCTGAGGGACCGACGTGAGAAAGGAAAGTACCGGGAAAAAAGTAAAAGGTGGAAAACCAGAATAAGAAGTTAGCCGTCAGCAAGAGAGTAGTGGTCGGAGTTCCGTCCCACCTGAGATCGTGGCAGGAGGGAACTGGGAAGACCACCCGCGCTGAAAGACGCTGGGGCATCCGGGTGTCAGGGAGTCAAAAGGGCTACCCTCGAGGGGAGAGCCACTAGCCTCAGACACCGCCCTAAGGGACCGGGGCACGACAGTGACAAAACGCCAAACCTCGGCAGCAAGCCTTTCGGCAGAAGAAAGATAGGACGGCGCCCTGTAGGAAATTGTTAGGTGAGTCGTTCCGACAAAATAAGACGGGAAAACATGGAAATAAGTAAGAATAAGGGGACCTTAGGGCCCGGGAACTAGGGAAACTATGAACAACCGGCCGTTTCGCAAAAAAAAAAATTCCATGTGCAAGATAGGTAAAGGGATGGCATCGGAAGAAGAGGCTGAGGAACTCCGAAGCAAAGGAAGTCAGGGCACGGGTAGGGGTACAGAATGAAACGAAGCATCAGTAAAGGATCGAGGGTAGATGGGAAGGATCTTTCGACAGGAGAAAGTTCGGGGAAAACCGGGGGTAGCAAAAGAGGACCTCCGAAAAATAGGGAAGGAAGGGACAATAGAAGATCGAGTCCTCGAAACTCGGAAGGGACTACGCCCAAGAAAACGAAGGTCTCGGACGCCCACCGCAAGCTGGCAGAGATAGAAAAGCGAACCGCAGAATATAAAGCGAGGCTTATGGAGGAAATAATGGCTGGGAATGAAAGGGACTTCCTGGGAGAAGGGTCGCGAGAGGAACGTAGGGTCAGCCAGGGCGAAATCGGGCACGGAGGTAAAGATAACAACCATAAAGGAACGCCCAACAAGAAAGGGAAGGAAAAGGGGGACGCTCCGGCTGTGGAGGCAGAAAAGGCTACGACCCCGCCTGCTATGGACAGCGGGACTAGCCGCCTGCCCGCCACACCGAAAGTAGCAAAGGGTTGCGACGGACTTTGGAGTCTTAGAGAAAGGGTGCTAGGATGGTTCGATCCTGAGGGTACGCCAAAGGCTGGGGAAAAGCAGGGGGATAGCAAGGAAGGAGAAGGGACCAGTCAGGCCGGTGAAGCAGGTAGCTCTGAGGGAGGTCTTAAGAAAATAGTAGCTAACCTCACCCGGGCTCTAAATAAGAATCAGGGGTATTTGGCCGATGCCAAGAAAAAACTCACTTTGGATGGGGCGAACATTACGGAGTTCCTGATAGACTATGAGAACCTGGCAGCCTTGTTGAAATGGAGTGAGGAAGAGAAGATGAACCATTTGGGGCAGCATGTGTCACTAAGTCTGGGTAAAGACATTATGGTCATCGTCGCCACTAGTGGATCTTAGAAGGAAACCAGGAACGAGATAATGAGGAAGTACCTAAAGGCGGAGAAGATGGCAACAGAAGCCGAGTTGGCGGCAGTCCAAAGGAAGAACTATGCCACTTACAATGACTTCCTAAGGGCGTTTACTCTTGTGGCACTACGAATTCCCGGAGTATCTGACCGGATAATGAGTAAGTACTTCCTCAGGCAGTTCTCCGAATTCGACAAAGATAAGAATCTCTCAGCTTACCAGCAGACTAGCAAGTTCGAGTACACTAGGGATGTGGACTTCAGCACGGTAACATACCTCGCAGAAAAGACAGTGGTGACCGATAAGCTAGCCCTGCTTAAGGAAGGGGAGGTTATAGACTTGACTGGGAAGACGGGGGATAAGGTCAAGAAGGGGATAGAGAGCCTGCACGAACGAGTGCACAGGGTTGACAGCAAGATGGAAAGAATGGAAAATGCGCTATTAGTAATGCAGGCGCATGTGTCCCGACCCGCCCTCCCGCCCTAAGAGACCGTAGTTTCGGCAGCGAACCGGGGGTATGGCAGAAGGGATCTGGCCAATGAGCAATGCAAGTACTGCACAATGGTCGGACATTTCGTGCAGACCTGCCCAAGACTCAACCATGATATCATGAGACAGAGATGCAGCAGGTCCCTTAAGGGTGAGATTCTCGGACCCCAGGGAGAGCGCGTAAATTGGAATTCACCAGGAGGGATGCGACGTGTCGTCATCATCCTGAATAACTTGGATATAGCCACCGTAGAAGCAGAGCCGGTAGCCGATATTGTTTGGGACCAACCGAGGGGACGTGGACCACAGGCGAATTTCATCCTAGAAGGCAATGGGCAGGATAGGGTAAACATCACCACCCGACGGGCCGGTGCGAAAAAAAAACTTATTCGAGATACAGTAATGGAAGAAGTCGCAGAGACTAGCGCAGATCAAGGGGAAACCGATGCCGAAGGGCCGGAAAAAGTCTACGGGAAAGCCAGGGAGGAGGAGCCGGTAGACAAAGCCGTGGCGGCAAAGAAAAAATTCAGATACCAAATTCCGATCCTGACCGTGCCGGAAGTAGACGGTACATTGAGCAAACTGTTAGGTATCATGGTATCGGTATCCTTTCAGACCATGTTACAAGCAAGTCCGAGACTGCTTAAGAGTCTCAGGCAACTGCTAACGCGCAGGCGCGTGGAGATGGAGGAGGCCCCGGAACCGCACGAGCAGGAGACGGAAGAGGCAGAGACACCCCAAGGCGTCTCCAACCTCCAAAGGATTCCTGGGGATCTGGAGGACCTGGAAAAGGCCTTTGCAGACATCCGCCTAAGCCTACCGGACCGAGAAGAGGGTGAAGTCATGAGGGCGCCACCCGGGACGAAGCTTAGCTTCCATGCATTGCCCGTAGGAAAGCTGAAAATCCAAATCGGAACCCACCACACATATGCATTAGTGGATGGTGCTGCAAAAATTACCCTCATACGACGGGACTTTGCAACAATTACCGGCTGCACCGTAAACAAGGAAGTGACGGGAGTATCCGGGGAGCTGGCGGGGAGATTCCCTTTGCAGGGTACGTTACGAAATGCGCAGTCAGGGCTGGGATCGGGGAATCAATCTGGTCCTTCCAGCGGATGACCGTGATGGAAGAAATGGACCATGACATAATTCTCGGAAGACCGTGATGCGCCAATGTAGAGATGATAGGTATGCATCTGCATGATGGCACATACATGGTGGATATAGAGGACCCCGTGACCGGCCGCGGAGAACTCCTCCGACTCCTTGGGACCGGAGGGGATCCTCCGAAGGGCAAGTTGGCAACTTGGTCGCCGACGTTCAAGGAGAGTGCGCGAAAGGGGGCATTCGCACGAATGGAAGGTATGAGGGAAAGGGTAGAAATCATGATTGAGGAAGCCTTTAGCAAGAAGGAGTGGATCAAGATGGGTCTACTTCTGAAGAAGAGGAGCCAAGAGGACGAGGCCCTGGAAGCTATGGTGGCGGAAAAAGAGTCGGAAGTCGAACTTGGGGCCAGCCTGCCCAAACCAAAGGAAGGCCGGAACGAAACGCCGGAGGTGGTGCTTGAAATCCCAGACTTGTCACAACTCGTTAAGGCCATCAGGTACCACAAGGTGGGGGTGGACCCCGCAGCGCTTGCTAAATTTGAAGACGGGGTCCGAAAGGGCCACTGTCTGAACGGGAAGCTAGTCAGCATCCAGCCCCGCGTCTTGGAGGTAGCAAGGCCGATCCCGACCGTTCATTTTTTAGGAGAACGATCCCTGAAGGAAGTGTGCGAAAATACAAGCCCGTAGGGAAGAAAGCCAAGCCGGTCTCGATCCTAGTCGAAACATCAAGGGAAGAGGCCATGGAAAAGGAGGAAGAAATCCTGCGGATAATAAGGGAGAGGCGAGCAGCGGAAGGGCACCGGATACCTGATGAGATAGCGGATACCATGAAGATAGGGGTAGAAGGGTTTCTAACGGCGGAAGAGACTCGGTTGATAAGGAGGGCGTGCCAGAAATTTCTCCTAGCTTTCGCCTTTAATGACCACCAGAAAGACCGATTGGACGCAAAGCTAATTTACCCCGTTAGGATCCACACTGTGGAACATGAGTGCTGGAATGACAAGGGGCCCGCCTACGAGTTCGGAATAGCTGCGGAAGTCACTGAATTGCTCAGAGCCAAGATAGATTCGTTCGTGGCCGAACCCACCGCATCCTCCTACGCGAACAGGTGGTTCGTTTTTCGGAAGCCCAACAAATCGCTCAGATGGATCCAGGACTTGCAGAAGCTGAATGCGGTTACGATCCGGGATGCGGGATCACTTCTGCAGGCCGACCTACTGGCAGAGTCTCACGCCGGACGAAGCATTTACTCCCTGATAGACCTATATTCAGGCTATGACCAGCTACCGCTCGACGCGAGAGATAGACCGTACACCGCCATGCACACCCCTGTAGGACAGCTGCAAATGCAAGTGACTCCTATGGGCTTCACAAATGCTGTGGCGGAGGCACAGAGGAGGATGCTTACGGTCGCAGGGGACATGTTCCCGGAAAAATGCGAACCCTACATAGATGACAATCCCATAAAAGGCGCGCAGGACAAGGATGAGACAGAGGTCCAGCCGGGCATATGGAAGTTTGTCTAGGATCATCTACAGGATATCAAGGATTTGCTTCAGCGATTCCTGGTATATAATATCACCGCAGGCGGACCAAAGAGCATCCTGGCGGTCCCAGAAGTGACTATATTGGGGTTTCGCTGTGGGGCCTATGGAAGAAAACCCGACCCGGCTAAGACGGATAAGATCTCCCAATGGCCGACGCCTCTGCGCACCACGACGGAGTTACGAGCCTTCCTAGAGGTAGTCGGATTCTGGAGAATCTTTATCAAAGGGTTCGCAAAGATAGTAGAACCTATCCGCGCAATGATTAGGGAAGGAGGGACTATGGAATGGACTGAGGACAGGGAGACGGCAGTCCAGACTCTCAAAGATATCCTGTCTTCCGATCAAGTCACCTTGGCAGCACCTTGCTTCAATGACGAAGTAGGACGACCCTTTATCTTGGAAGAAAACGGAGGACCTTTGGCAGTAGGTGGAGTCCTGATACAAAGGAGCGAGGAAGGTAAGGAGAGGCCTATCAGATTTGAGAGCAGGATCCTGAATTCGGCAGAGCGGCAGTACTCACAGTTCAAGAAAGAGGTCTTGGCCATCCTACATTGCCTTAAGACCTTTTAGGCATACCTATTCGGGAGACGGTTTATCTTAAGAATCGATCCGACCAATGTCGCTGGGGCATTAAAGAACTACAAGCCTATAGACCCGACCGTTGGAAGATGGATAGGTTTCATATGGCAATTCGACTACAAGGTCGAGCGAATTGCGGGGCTCCGAAATAGGGCGGACGGGCTAAGTCGGGTTTGCATTACGTCGGAGGGAGTAGAGGATGCGGAACCAATCGACGCCTTCCTAGAATACGAAGGGGGGACCCTTGTCGTAGATAACGAGATGGCAGGCACCGCTCCTACAATGGATCAACTGCTGATTCAGACCCAAGAAAAAGGCTCGCCCGCGGTAGTTGCGGAACTCAGGGAAGGACCAGTCACCACGATTAGACGCAAGGATGAGAAGGATTCATGGGGAGCAACGATGGGGCCAAAGGAAGAACTGATGGCAATGGCCGTCGAAGGGGGTCGGGATGCTGTGATGCATCTAGTAGAAACTTGGATGTGAAAAGAGCGACAGTATCTAGTGAATCAGGTCCAGGAGGGGCAAGACACAGATGTATGATGACGTCTTTAGAGAAATCGGTATGCTGCTTATAGGAAACAAGCAGCCTATGGAAGTCGGCCCCAAGGCAAGGGAGGAAGCCGAGAAGTATGTTTTGAGTCACGGTCACCCGTTCAAGAAAGAAGAAGGAATGATGCCTAGGCATGTCGTATGCGGAAGGTCTAGGCAGTTGGACATAATCCAGGCAATGCATGATGGGCTAGCCGGAAGGTACCGGTCGTCCAAAGGGACTCTGGCAAAAATCGCCCCACTTTACTTCTGGCTAGGTATGGCAGGCATGATGGCGACGTACTGCCAAACGTGTCTGATATGCCAGGAAAGGAGTTCCACACGTGTCTTCGAGCCCCTTAGACCTACCCGGGTACTGGGGCCGGGGCACCTCGTCCACCTTGACCTCGGGAAAGGGAGTGGCCGATTGGGTAGAGGACTTTTACCTAAGACATCCCTTTGTGCGCAGGTTCAAGGCGGATAATGGGACAAAATTTGTAAATCACCAAGTGCTAAGCAGGCTCAAGACGCTGTGCGTACCTATCAAGATCATTGAACCATACCACCCTGAGGCCAATGCACCAGTAGAAAGGGGGCACCGGACCTTGAAAAACACAATCGCTAAGTTGGCGGCGGAGGACCTGGGGAACTGGCCTCGATACCTTAAGCAGGCGGTCTTCTCTGAGAACATGACGCCAAAAAGGACGACGGGATGCATTCCGGCAGAACTCTGGTATGAGAGGGAGATCGATTTTCCGGTGGAAGCCCTGGTTCCTACCTGGAACAGGCTAGATGACAATCCGCACATGTCTACGGAAGAACTAATTGTCGCACGTCGCCAACAGGTCGTGAGAAATGAGGAAGCCTTGGAGGATGTGGTCAGGCGGGTGATGGATAGTCGAATGAAGGACAAAGCAAAGTGGGATCAGGTAAAGAACATCCGGAAGGAGCCGCTCCAGGTGGGAGAGAAGGTACTAGTTAGGAACTCGACACTTGAAAGCACATGGTCTGGACAACTGGGGAAAAGGTGCAAAGGCCCCTACAGGGTCGCAAAGCAGGTGGGTCTGAACACTTTTGAACGTGAAGATCTTGATGGTACTGGGATAAAAGGACCATTTTCGGGACAGAGGCTGGTCAGGTTTTTTAGCAGGGATCCGGTGGAACAATGGCTACAAGAGGCTCAGGACAAGGACACAGGGGAATTGACAACCTGAAAGACAGGCAGCTGGGTATGATTCTATACCGCCTCCCTGTGGAAGTAATCATGATTGCAGGGAATTGTTCGTTTTTGTGTCTTCTTTCCCTTGGGGCATGGGATGACTGCCTGGGCTGAATATGAATGAGGATGGGAGCATGGGACAATGTACCATAGTTTTTGTGGGGCAATTCTGGGGACTGTCTACATGGGGCACCTACGCGCCGGGATGATGTGCCAAGGGTTCTGAGGGATAATGGGACTACCAATTATATGGGGGCAAGCAAGGGTTCTGAGAAAGCCTACAATTCTGCAAGAGGGAGTGGAGGGGAGTATGTGTGCGTATGAGGGGATGCCGTGACTGTTATGTGTGGACAGGGCCAGGAAAGGAGAAAACAACAAGAAAGAATAAAGATGAAGTTTGAGAACGAAAATGACAGCAACGCCATCAATAGGCCTAATGAGGAGCAACCGACAAGGTAGGCTGGGGAGTCAAGCTCCAGAAAGAGGAAGTTGTATGTGGGATTTGACCGCAATTTGGTTGTGAACAGAGGGGGGAGAAAGCAAGGGAGTCGGGGGCCTTCACCTCTCAGAGAGGGGGAGCCAATAGTTCTCCCTTCAGACAACGATGATAGTGAAGAAGAGGTTGGGAACCCGGGGAAGAGACAAAAGGTGAAAGAGGAAGAGCCCATTGAGGTCATAGACCTCAGTAGTGAGGAGGAAGAAGATGAAGTTAAAACACCCACAAGAGAAGTACGGGGAAGTGAAGAGGACCCGGGGGAAGAAAAGGACAAGTGGATAAGGAAATTTGGGCCGACTTTCGGTGACTGGTTCGATCAATGGGCCAATATTTTGCGATACGATTGGGCAATGAGAGGGAAAGAAAAGTTGAGCAGAGGAGAGGACATAACGCCCACAACCTTCTTCACAGAAGAGGAACTCCTTGGCTTACGGAGGACAAAGAGAAAGATGCAACAAGAGATTGATGATCGTGCAAGGGAGGTTCGACGCAGGGCAATTGGGCAGTAAAGGGGTAGTAGACAGAACAGGGAATAGTTAGAGAATGGGCAGGGCTGGAACCTGGGCAGGCAGAACTGCCATTTTGAGTCTTGCATTTGAACTTTCTCAGAATGGACTACAATGGGACAACTTTCTGCTTAGAATGACCAAAGACTTAGTAACTAGTGCTACTTTCCATAAGTAGTTGCTTCCTCAGAAGGACATGTGGGTCGATGAGCTTGGGACTAGGACTATGAAGCACTGGGTTGAAAGTAAAGGGAAGAAAGGGGAGGACCTAGATGAGACAAGTCTGTAATGTTGCCTTTGCAATCGAATTTCTCCTTTTTTTCTGAGAAAAATCGTGACAAAGTTGCTCTTTGAACTGGGGAAGTAAACAGGGACTAGGTAGTCAGTGCTACTTTGCATAACTACTTGCTCCTTTGAAAATACGGTGATCTTGGATGGGGAGACACGGACTGGGGATGGTTAACGCTGTTTTGGGAAAGGGCAAGAGCGTGTGGATTGTTAAGATGGAAGAAAAGTTTATGAGAAAGAATTGTTCTTTTGAAAAATGTGCAGCCCTGGTTGAATGGCTTATGGTATAGGTTTCTGTGAGAGGTTAGGGGACCTATGGGTAAAGAGGTATGAAAAACCCTCTTCCCTAGGAGCCTAATCCAACCTATCCCGGAAAAGTCCAGAGCAGTAAAAGGCATGAGAGGTCAGAAAGAGGAAAAAATTGGTTGAGCAAACAATCTCCGCAATGGTTGAACGGTCGAGCGGGCTAGTGTTGCTTGGGGTTGTGAGCCTCAAATTGAGCACTAGACGCTAAGTCGGGTATATGTATGGACATGAGAATGGTGAATGGCACGACACGAAAGGCAAAGGCATGCGTAAAACACAAGAGATGGCCACCTTCTAACCTCCGAGACAGAGATAGGATCCGTGTCCTCGAGGCCCACCCCCTCGGGCGCTAACATTGAAATGGACAAGGATGACCCTAACCAGGTTGTCCGATTGAAATGGATAAGGACGGCCCTAACCAGGCTGTCCGATGGAAATAGATTAGAATGACCCTAACCAGGCTGTTCAACTTGGAATTGGAAATAACGACCCTAACCAGGTTGTTCGGAATGACCCCTGACAAGGGTCATTCTTTGGAATTGGCACTGGGATCCCCTTGCATGGTTGTCTGAGAGGCATGAAATTGGGAAGAGCTGAGCCTTGAAAAAGACATTGGACCCAGCCTTGGAAAAGGGATTGGACTCAGCATTGAAAGAGATATTAGATTGAGCCTTGGATTTGGATTGAGCCTTGGAATGGGCTTGAACATTGGACTTGGATTGAGCACTAAAATTGGACTGAGCCTTGGAATGGGCTTGAGCATTGAACTTGGATTGAGCATCGGAATTGGAATGAGCGCTGGAAATTGCATTGCATAAACAGGGGACCCTAGGCAACTTGAAATGGACATGGAAATAGCATTGAAATGGATTTCTCTTTCCTTCTAGTCCTTGGCCTCAGCAAAAGGGGGATACCGGTGCTTGCACTGCGACCYCAAGACCTCTATCCCTTAAAGGGAAAAGTCTCAGCGCGACTTGTTCCTCTTACAAGGGGATGAGGGTTAAAGGACCAAGACACCTACCACTTGGATCGGTGCGGGACGTCCGGAACTAACCCCGACAATGAGCTCTAGTCGGGGAGTTCAAATTGCGCCTCCTGTTGAACGCCTAAACGTCAAAGGGTGAGAGAACTAAATGGGCGAGAGAGTCATTCTCATCTAGTCTATTTTGCTACTCTCCAACCACACGCCATGTCATAGAGGGGTGCCATGGCCGTTTGGGTCGGACCTAGGATGCCCGCGCTAAGTTGGGTGGCACTGTCCAAGGGGAGAGGCTGGCGTGGTACCGGGTGGAGGCCGCCACCACCACGGGGCATTGACACTGCCCTGCCGGAACATTACAACCGTTTCGGGACGAATTGCGAGGTCTTCGTAACTGCACTCGCGGACTAATTGAGAGCCACAACTCTCTTGAAAAGAAGATGCCGGATCCATAAAATTACCACTGGGGAGGAACGATTCGCGAGGAACGCTCGTACGGCTAGACGAGGCCCTGAAAGACTTGGATTGGACCTGCCTGCTAGACGTGAGGAGGAACCTCAGTATTGGTGCTCGCCACGTAAGAGAAGAAAGGTCGGACCGAGTAGGAGGATGAGGCGTCGTTCGCTGGGGAGGAACTGATCACTCTTCCTTTTGTGAAGCGGATGGGCTTGTGTCCTTGACTGCGGTTGGTGGGCCAAAGGTCTGCGTGCCTCCGAGTGAGAACCAGTCGCGCGATGGGGACATCGCGTTTTGAGTGGGGGGAAGGTGTGCCATCTACCAGTGAAAATGCATGCAAAAGACTTGTGTAATTGGCTTTGCGTGGGCCTGAGAAAAGGGGGCCTAGCAAGATGCCCAGAACAGTAAAGACTTGTGTAATTGGCTTTGCATGGGCCTGAGAAAAGGGGGCCTAGCAAGNGAGAAAAGGGGGCCTAGCAAGATGCCCAGAACAGTAAAGACTTGTGTAATTGGCTTTGCATGGGCCTGAGAAAAGGGGGCCTAGCAAGATGCCCATGACATAAAAGACTTGTGTAATTGGCTTTGCGAGGGCCTGAGAAAAAGGGGCCTGGTAAGATGCCCAAAAGAGAAAAAAAACTTGTGGGATTGATTTGACATGAGCTTGAAAATGGGCCGGGCAAGACGTCCGAAAAAGAAAAGACTCGTATGATGGACTTTGTATGGATCTGAGAAAAAAACTGGCAGACTGGGAAACGGATGAGTAATTGGTTTGAATTTTAGCTTGAGAAAAAGGTCTGACAAGGTGCCCAAGAAAAGAAGTGCATAAAGGACGAATTGAGTACCGCACATGGAAAGATGAGCAAAAAGCAAGGAAGGACAAAAGGGTGATATGCATGCGGAATTGGCGGGACCTGAGAAAGGCCGGGTCAAATAACCCGGGGGAAATGTATGTGTATTTGGCAAAGCCTGAGCTCCGGGGAAGGGTGACGGGAAAGCATAAATTGCACGGGCCAAAAGACCCGAAGGAAAGAAACATTGAAAACATGGCTTGCACGGGCCGAAAAGCAGATCATTTGTGGATGTTCTAAGAGTAATGAATAAGACAAAACCAGAATGTTGTTTGCTCGTGAATGTTTTCTCAATGAAATGGGAAGATAGATTTGAGATTACGAAGCACTTAGGGGAGTTGTGCCTGTGTTCATTGATCCGAAGTGGGCATCACCACAGCAAAGGCGGCGGTTGCACCGGGCGAACATCCCCCTTCCGGAGCAAATGCCTGACATTGAGCCACATCCGAAAACTTGCCTACAATTTGTTATCAACAATGCCAAGGCATATAAAGAGAAAACCAACTGTGTTATGACAACAAATTGTCACCCTGGAATAAAGCCAGCATGCCAGTAGCTAAGTGCATGAAGCAAGGAGAGCCTCGTCTGCTTCATGCCATGAAAATCGAAAGAATTATAGGCTACCCTGCTGGGTATACAGAGTTGACTGAAGAGAAAGTTCGTGTCTCGATTGAGGGAAAGATAAAAAGGCAGAGCTATGATGGAAATGATCAACCTGGTCTAAGTTGTAGGAAGAAAAGAGAGGCCCGAAGAAGAACCTTTGACTCCCCCACACCCTCCTCCACCCAAACGGGGCGGGAAGCTAAAGAAAACCCTGAGAAAGGAATGGGAAAAGACACAAAGGACCCTGGCAAGCTAACTACCCATCTTGCCCCGCCCCCTCTTCCCCCCTGTCTACCACTCCCGAATCCTTACTGACTATGGACCGGTGCGCGATGAGGACATCGCGAATGAGTGGGG